TACAGCCAGAATGTGCAGTTGAAGCCCTTACTTCGGACATATTATCAGGAGGGACTAGTCCCTGGAGAATGACATCATGCTTGGTAAAGTGGGTTATCAGTGAAAAAGAGGGAGACTTCCAATGAGATGGACTGACACAGTGGCAGCAGTAATAAACTCAAGCTTAACTATTGTGAGGATGGGACAGGACCAGACAGTGATTCAGTCTGTTTTTCAAGGGGGCACTAGGAGTCGGGACTGACTCAATTGCACCTAACAACAACAGCAACAACAAAAACAGAGTTTTCTGAAAGGGACAGAAGTGTGAGAACAGAGTTTTGGGTGGGTTTGTTTTAGTTTAACAGCAGTTTACCAGTTAGACATCCTGAAAAGTATTTACTGGACTGTGACCTGTGATTGAACTTTTTACTTTTTTATTGGTTATTGAGTGAATGTTTACAGAACAGATCACAAGTTTTAAGTTAAATAAATCATGTATTGCATGTCATTTCAATAGATTGCAGTGCCTCCCATTTAACATCAGTTAATCCCTTTTATTCCCTTCGATTCTTGTTGCCGTTCCACCGTCCTTCCTAACCCTTCCAAACTTTTTCCTTAAGTAAAAGCTGCCCTTTTGATGTTGAATGGTTAACCATTCAAAATATATCTTCCTATTTTTGTTAACACGTGTCTACCAAAGGTATGCTGTAGGGTAAGCACTGGACTGCTAACTAAAAGGTCTGTGGTTCATACCCACCAGCCACTTCTTGGAAACCATATTTAGGGGCACTATGAGTCAGAACCTACTCAATGGCATTTAAAAACAACCACGTTCTACCCAGTGAAATATTCTCCCTTCCCTCCTACTCCTGGTAATCATCCGAAAATGTTTCTTTTAATATGAAATGTGACCTATAATTTTTAAAAATAAAATGTAAAATATCATAGTGAATTGTACATAGAACAAGTAATGTTTAGCGAAATTTTTATTTTTGCTGTATGTGTGCTTGTGTACATGTGTGAATACTGGGATGAAATTTTAAATGTGCAGAGTCATGGTAAAAACAAACCAGATACTACTGGATTAGGAACTACTTCAGTAGTCTAGGTGATAGTCTAGGTCAGTAGTTGGTGGCAACAAGAGATGGTCATTGTGTTGTGTGTTCTCATGCTGATTCCAACTCATAGTGATTGCGGTCATGAATAATCTAATTTCTCTTCTAGCCAACGTCTCTTAACTCGCACCAAACAACATTTCTGCCCAGCTAGATCTGAATAAGAGAAGGTGGGAAACAATATTGATAGGATGGCATGATTCAGCTACAGATGTTAGCAAAGTTCGTTGTTTAACTGTAAAAATGTAAAACTGTAAAAATGTAAAACTGTACAATGGGTATAAAATGAGCCATCTCAAAAGCAGGAAGGGGGTGGAGGTGTGTGTGGGGGGGGTGTTTCACTACCATCAAAGAAGAGCCAGGAATGGAGCATGTACTTTGGGCCCCGAGGTCCCTATTCATTGAGCTTCCTCTGCCCAGGGACAGAGGCTATGTATGACATCAGAGGAGTAACAGCAGCAGCAGCAGAGCCAAGAACCAAAGTACAAGACAGAACACTGGGCTTCCCAATCCCTGGAGAAAGGAAAGCAGAGTGACTTTGGGCAGGAAGCTTGTTTGTAGAGTGGAGGCTCTAAAGTGGGAGGGCTAAGTTCGCTGACCCATAAAGCTAGAGCCAAGTGCCTTAAGGCTGAGGCTTGTGGTGGAGTGGTGTGTCCTGTGGTCATTTTTCAGCAGCTTAGTGGAACAACTGTGCCCTGAACATTTTTGATCCTTTATTGTATGTAGCCTGTTAACTTCTCTATTAGACTCCATGATTGTTAGTATAGTGTCTGAGTTCTGTGTGGCCACTGCAACAGATTAGTAAACCCACCAGCTGTGGAGTAGATAGTATTGTGAGAGGAATGGTTGGTGCCTCACATTTTTTTTGCAGTGACCCAGTAGGACAGAGTAGAACTACCCTACGTGATTTTCTAGACTGCAGTCTTTGGTTTGGCGCTGTGAGATAATGCACTAGATCGCAAGAGTGGATGTTCAAACTCACCAGCCTTTTCTTGGAAACACTATACAGAGGTGCTGTGACTCAGAATTGAGTTGACAGCACTTAACAACAGTTTTTATGGCAGCAGGCTGCTAGGCTTTTTCTCCCATTAAAGAGCTGTTGGGTTTGAACTGCTAACCTTTGAGTTAGTGGTCGCATACTAAACCTTTGAGCCACCAAGACTCATTAAGAAATTAATTGGCTTCAAGTTCTATTTTAAATGTAGATTAGATCTGACATGCTAGTAGATTAAATGATGAGGAGTATAAGAAAGCGAGAAACTATTCGGGACTTGGAGGCTTTTATTCTGAAAAACAAGGTAAATGGGATATATTTGTGATGGCAGAGTTGGAGATATAAAAATGTGCAGGGGCTGGAGATAGAAATACAAATTTAGCATCAGGATGCATTCTTAAGGAACATCGTTGGAATTAAAAACACAAACCTAAAGCAAGTATATATTTGTTGTTGTTATGTGCCGTGTAGCCAGTTCTGACCCATAGCAACCCTGTACAGGGTTTCTGAGGCTGTAAATCTTTGCAGGAGCAGAAAGCCTCATCTTTCTCCCGCGGAACAGCTGGTAGTTTCCAACTGCTGACCGTGAGATTAGCAGCCTGATTCGTAACCACTACGCTACCAGAGCTCCTTAAGTATATATTGGGAGCTCAAAAAGTTTATGGAAAATTCTATTAATCATTTAATTCTATTTTTCCGCAAACGTTTTGAAGCCCCCACATATATGATAATGAAAAATCTGTTCATGTTTTATGAGAGGAAAATCCTCAAAGGTTCAACATCTGTTGAATATCTTTAACAGATGGTACTAGCTAAATTTTTAAAAAACTATTTCTAAAACATAAGGCCCATGAAAGTTATTTTCTTATAGGTAGAAATGCATATAAGTGATTGAAGGTTTTAGTATTATTAAATAGGATTTTCTGATGATCTTTATGGCCCTTTTGCTTTCTTTTGGAAGAAAACGGACACTTTTGAGAGAATCGGCTATTCCTGGAATCGGGAGAAGTAGACAGAACTGGTGTCTTAAAAGCAACAACTGAATATAATGCTACTGAAGAAGGCTCAGTAGCATGCATGTTGTGATTATGAAGTCGTTTTTTGTTTGTTTAGGTGTGGCACTGTAGGATAAGCACTGGACTTCTAACCACATGATCGGTGGTTCAAACCCACCAGTCGCTCCTTGGAAAAATCCTATGCAGGGTCGTTATGAGTTGGAATCAACTCGATGGCACTTTAACAACAACAGCATTTGGTTAGGGAACCCTGATGGAATAATGAACTAAGTGTTGGACAGCTAACCCCAAAATAAGCAATTTAAACCCACGAGCTGCTCCTCAAGAGAAAAATGAGACAATCTGCTCCTGTAAAAGATAAAAGGTCTCAGAAACCCTGTCCCACAGAGTCACTATGCTGAAGAATTGATTAGGTGATGTGGGTTTGGCTTTGGTTTGGTTTAATGTTTGATTTGCTTTTTTTTTTATCATACTGGTAAAGTGTTCCATGAGAATCGTGTGGCCCTTCTTAAAACCAGGACTGAATTCGTGCTGATGGATTTCTAACTGTATGGTTTGAAATGCTGATGTGACACTGTAGGATAAGCACTGGACTACGAATGGCAAAGTTGACAGTTCAGACCCACCAGCCACTCCTCGAGAACTCCATATAGGGTTGCTATCAGGCAGAACTGACTCGATGGTCTTTAGCAACAATAGCACTTACATGGTTTAGAGTGAGGTGGGTCTAAAAGATAAACACTGGACTGTGAACCACAAGCAGTTGGAGCCCACCAGCTACTCTGGGAAAAAGATGGGGCTTTCTGTTCCTTCAAAGTTTCATAGCCTCAGAAACCCTAGACAGGGTCAGTATGATTTAGAACCAATTTGACAGTGCTTAACCACAACAACTATATGGTAACATTTGAAAGGCACCCTAATGGCCTAAACCTGAAAATATCATCTTAGTGGCTTTGAAACTCCTAAAGTTTATCATCCCTTTGAGCCAACGTTCTTAATTAGATGAATTTGTTTCCAAATAAGCGCTGATTTGTCAACAAGTAACACAGACTAAATAATCTTAGCTGCCAGATTGTTAATGCAATTTTATACTTTTGGGGGATTAGAATTAGATCCAGATGAGGGGCTGCATAAGGACACTTAAGAGATTTGGAGTGAGGAAGAAGGGGAGGAGAAGAAGGGGTTTCAGAAAAGAAGACTTCCGTAGAGATGGCAGAGGCTGGCTTTAATTATTTTTAAGTGCTTAACAGCAGCCCATGACACTCATTCATACCATGATAGATAAGTGCTGGACTGTAAGGTCAGCTTGAACCTCAAGGTCTGTAGTTCCATCTCACCAGTTGCTTCTCAGAAACAGGGTCACTATGAGTTGGAACCAACTCAATGGCACTTAGCAACAACAGCTAACCCATAAGGAGAAAGGATAAGGTCATGAAGCAAAGCTTGTATTTCTTTCCTTTCCCTTCCTTTTTCTTTTTTTAAATTTTACCACCTTCCTTTTTCACTTTTTTTTTTTCTGTAAAAGCTAGCTATGATATGTAAATATTGAACTTGTCACCTTAGCCTCATTGTTGCACCATTTTTGAAGCAATGGACAAGCAATCATAAGTACTATGAAAGTAGATTATGGGAAACCAGCTCCCATTCAGATACATACTGAAGATATCAGTATAAACATGAAGTTAAATGTCTTTATAAGTGATCAATATTTCTTTGATTAAAATTCCTTATTTGTGAAACATTTGTATATATGTAAGTACTTTTGCTTTTTCCTCTCATCTCTGAAGAACTGTATTAAGCTTTAATTTGTCACAATTTCCCAGGGGGGTGGCGCTTAGTTGAAATGTCACTGATAGCTTGTGGTTTGGCCTTTTTTTTTTTTTTTTTTGACACCAGGCAGAAACAACTAGAAACCATTAAACAACTGCCAGAAGATGTTGTCAACCAGGAAGCAACCCTCAGGAAGACGCTCCAAGAAGTTAGCCAATGGCTGGAGGATGCCAAGGAACAGGTAGGTTGGCCCCTGACTACATTATATTCAGGGGAAGTCTCCTCAGATGTCTTTAAAACCATGAAGTAAAAATAGAGGAGGAACAAAAAAAAAAAAAAAAAGAGGAACTGTGAAGTTGAGTCCCCAATGACTAGTGAGTGGAGGAAGTAAAGGGGGAGCTGTAAAAGGCAGTGTCAACAGCCTGCTGATGAAAGAGGCAACTTTGCAGAAAGATACAACCTGACATATCAGGATTTTTACCACTGAAGAAATAGCTCAGGCATATAAAGCCCATGCAAACACAGAATTGCAGAAGTTCAGTAGAGGCTTATCACTGCCCTGAGAAGAAAAGCACATTTTCAGTTTCGTGTGCATAGTAAGAGTGAGCGCTCAATTGTTTCTTTCTTTCATTCTTTTTTTTTTTTTTGCTGGCCACACTGCTAAAATCCAATATTAACCATATGTACTAGGTTAAGGATCAAGCTCAGACAGCCACTTCTGCTGTTGAAGAAGCTAAGACGTTACAGCATGAATTAGAGGAAGCAGTTTCTGAACAATGGAATCTCCAGACTATAAATACTGAGCTATGGGACAAATGCCAGACACTTGAGCAGAAGACAAGAAAACTGAAAAGTAAGTAGCAGATACTCGTTTATATCCTCGTTCATTCCACCTTGGGGTGGAGCAAAAGGACTACCGCCATTTTTCTAAATTACAACTGCTGTGATATTACTCAATTTATGACAGTGAAGTGGTTCAAGAAGGTAGGACGATGGGCTTTTAGAGAGGTTTGCTTCATACCTGGGTAGATTAAGTTAACTATGAACTTTCCCTTTTGGTTGCTTATTATGAGCTGGATTTGTCCATGGCTGTTACATTCTAAAAAAAAAACAAAACTAAATAATGCTTCTCAATAGCTCCAAAATAAACAAGGAAGAAATCTCATGTGTATGGGTTATTTGAATGTCCAAATATTTAGATATTCCACTCTGATTTCATTCGTCTGTACCAACACTATGATGAAGAAGGCCTAGCTTGTCTTTTTATCCTTTAAAGTAGTAGTTTTAGAGTAATTAATAAAATAAGTATAAATACCATATGTATCAAAATATTAAATATGTGTAGAAAGGCTTTTTTAATTTTAATACATTCTTTAGATAATCTACATTGTAAAAGCATAAAATATTATCAATAACTTTTAAATGTAGTACCTAAAAGTACATAATAAGCCTTTACTAAGGATTTATACAAAACAATTGTGAAATCAATCATAGATGTCAGATTTTTATAAGCCTGTTTTATTCCCGAAACGTAGTATGGTAAAAATCAAACTTACTTTATTTATTTGCCCATTTATCAGACAACATTCATCTTTAGTACACTTTATTCTCTACTAGTGTAAATATTCTTTTTATAGAAATGTTTGTTTATTGGTGTGGGTGATAGAGACAAATAATTATAAACTTAAAGTAAACCAGGGACGAACGTCTCTAGATTTGTGTTTGGCTTGTATCTATTGTACCCTTCTAAATACTTCTTGAGAATATTGCTGAAGACATTAAGAAATAATCTGCTTTTAAAGTAGCAACTTTGATCTGCAATCTTTTTAAATTATTTAAAAATTATTTTAAAAACATTTGTAAAACTTTTATAATTTTTATCAGTATATTTGTATTGACTCTGTCAGACAATATAAGGCATACTTTAAATCTGTATGCTATTTTAGGTTAAGCTTTGGGCTGTTAACCAAAAGATTGGTGGTTTGAACTTACCAGCTGCTCTGCAGGAGAAAGAGGAGACAGTCTACTTCCGTAAAGAGAATTTACAGCCTTAAAAACCCTAAGAAACATCTTGACTGTATCCTATACAGTCACTGGTGTGGTGCTGCAGGGTAATGCACTGGACTGGAAAAGCTGCTTGAAATGCAAGGTTGGTGGGACAAGCCCACCATCCGTTCCTCGGAAACCTTTTGCAGAGTCACTAACATTAACAAAAACATAGGATCACTATGAGTTGGAATTGACTCAAGGACAGGGAGTATATGCCATTTCATTATTTCTCAAAGGGCGTTGGAGAAGGTTACTTTGAGTTTAAAACTGTTCATGTTGAGGCATGATAAATAAAAATAAGTATGGTAGGTACTCCCAATTTAAAGTTTGTCTCTTTTAGAGTGTTCTTAGAGGATTAGTTTTTTGGTCTAATCATATTTATATTTTAATTAAATCAATATCATACCCCATAGTTTTAGTAACTACTACGTACGAAATTATTTCTTCTCCTCCACCCCACCCCCCATGATTTCCTTGTTACACTTTCTAAAAGCATCAACGGATCCCAAAGTGTACGTTCTTGATTATTATGATCTTGCTTTTGCCTTCCCAGTTTATCCTCAGAGGATTATTGATCCAAATATTATTAAAATCAGAACATGAAAGCTCTTCTGGGTTAAATGCATGCATTTTTTTTTTCTGCTTGGAGGGATTAGAGTGGACTCTTCCTTTGTGTCCTGAGTTGCTTACTATCTCCATGGCTTTATGAATGCCTGCCCTTGTTTGTTTCTTCTATTGCCCAAAGAAGTGATAAGTGACAGAATTTTGTTCTTATGACGACTTGTTTATGAAAGTCATTCTAGTAATGCTACTGAAAACCACCCTTTGGGAGAGGAAGGAAATTTAGGTGGTATGTGATTCCAAAATAGTCTCTATAGTAAATCTTCCAGGTAGATGACAAATACTCACAAATATCACACAGACAGCTCCACACACATTCCACCATGACCACTGCCAGTCCCAACCTTTCAGAGCTCACTATTATCTCCTAGGTCCACCATAGGAGCAGCCTCTTTGCCTCAGAGTTCTACTGCCATCTGCATCTTCTCAGCATCCCAGCAGCTCTGTTCCATTTTCAAGCTGTTGTTTTTGAGTGTTGTTAATATTCCCTGAGGCAGCCGTTAGCCATTTTGAGTTCCCTGTCAGGACAACCCAAGTTTTCTTCCTAGGTACTAATGATTTAATCATTGTTTTTGTTAGTGCTCTGGTTACACTGTAGCATGTTGTCATTGTTCTTGTTGTAGTTAAGTGCAGTTGAATCAGTTCCAATTCACAGCAACTCTGTATAGGGTTTCTGAGGAGTGACTAGTGGGCTTGAACCACTGAGCTTGCAAACCAACCTTGCAGTTTAGTGCATTAACCACAGCACCACTTGTCGTTGTTGTTGTTAAGTACCATCGAGTCAGTTCTGACCCATAGTGACCCTGAATAGGGTTTCCAAGGAGCAGCTGGTGAGCTCAAACCACCGATCCTGCAGTTCAAATGGCTTTGCAGTTTGGTGCATTAACCCACAGTGCCACACCACTTGTCATTAGTGGCCTTCAGTTCAGCTCTGACTCATAACTCCATGAACAACAGAATGAAACACTGCCTGGTTCTGTGCCATCCTCACAGTTGTTAATATTTGAACCCACTGTTGTAGCCACTGCACCAATCCATCTCCTTAGGAGTCTTCCTGTTTCTCGATGACCCTCTGCTTTACCAAACATGAGGTAAAGCGCTTTTCTAGGGACAAGTGTCTCTTAGGAGTTCTGGTGTAACACTGTAGGATAAGCACTTGATCACAAGATTAGTTTGAACCACAGGGTCGGTGATTTAGACTCACCAGCTGCTTTTTGGAAACCCTATACAGGGTCCCTATTAGTTGGAAACAACTTGAGAGCACTGAACAACAACAGTGCCTCTTGACAACATGCCCAAAGTTTATTAGACAGAGTCTTAGCCATCCTCACCTCCAAGGAGCATTATGGCTGTACTGCTTCCAAGACAGCTTTGTTTGTTCTTCTGGCAGTCTATGATATTCACAGTATTCTCCACCAATACTGCAGTTCACTCAATTCCCAATAAAAAGTTGTGCTTTTTTAAAAAAAATAAAGACATGAAAATTTCAAAATGAGTTATACTATATAGGATGTTGACTATGTTGACGATGAATCACAAGGTTGGTGGTTCGAGCCCACTAGCTGCTTTGTAGGAAAAAATGAGGCTTTCTGCTTCCGCAAAGATTTACAGCCTCAAAAACCCTAAATAGGATTACTATGAATCAGAACTAATTCAACGGCACTTAACAACAATGTTGTTGCTATTGTTGTTAGGTGCCACCAAGTCGGTACTGACTCTTAGCAACCCTATGCACAGCAGAACGAAACACTGCCCAATTCTGGGCCAACCTCACTACTGTTGCCATGCTTGAGTCTATCAACTTGGCCAATCCATCTCGTTGGGGGTCTTCCTCTTTTTCTCTGACCCTCCACCTTACCAAACATGATATCCTTTTCCAGCAACTTGTCCCTCCTGACAATATGTCTGAAGTATGAGAGACGAAGTCTGGCCATCCTGGCCTCCAAGGAGCACTCTGGCTGCACTTCTTCCAACACAGATCTGTTGGTTCTGTGGGCAGCCCATAGCACTTTGAATATTCTCCTCCAACACCATAATTCAAATGCATCAATTCTTCTACGGTCTTCCTTATTTACTGTCTAGCTTTCGCATGCATATGAGGTTATTGAAAACACCATGGCTTGGGTCAGGCACACCTGAGTCCTCAAGCTGACTTGTTTGCTCTTCAACACTTTAAAAAGGTCTTGTGCAGCAGATTTACCTAATGCAATACGTCATTTGACTTCTTGACTGCTGCTTCCCTGAGTGTTGATAGTTGATCCAACAACAGTATATGGGATATATTTTTTGCTTCTGTCTATCTGTCTTCTTTCCTTCAACATATTTTTGAAATTCAGTTCATCTGTTGTATATCCTTTTATACGGTTAAGCATTGTTCCTTTGTATGAACATTCCACAGTTTGATTATCTTTTCTCTTACTGTTAGATACTAAATTATTGACAATTTTGGGGTTATTATGGAGAACACTTCTTAGAACATTCATAATATGGATCCTTATGTGGATATATGCTTGTATTTCACTTGGATAAAAATCCAAGAGTGGAATTATTAGGTCATAGTGTAGTTGCTGGAGTCTTGGAGTGGTGCTGTATAAACACTGGACTGCTATCTGCAAGGTTGGTGATTCAAATCCACCAGCTTCTTTGGAAACCCTGTACAGGGTCACTATGAGTTGGAACTGACTTGATGGCACTTAATAACACAACAACAAGTGTAGTTGTTGGGAGTGTGGTGGCTCTAGAAGATAAGCACTAGACTATGAACCACAACATCAGTGGTTTGAGCCCACTAGCTGCTTCTTGGGAGAAAGAGGAAGCTTTCTTCTCCCACAAAGATTTACAGTGTTGGGAACCCTATGCAAGGTTGATATGAGTTGGAACTAACTCAGCAACACTTAACAACAACAAGAGTGTTGTAGCTCTAACATTTTAAGAAACTGCTGGAGTTGAAACTCTAAAGTGTTTATTACATTTCAGACTCCCACTAGCATTGAGCATTCTAACTGCTCCACATTTTCTTCCATAGTTGGCGGTGTCAGTCTTTTTCATTTTACCCATTCTAGTGGGTGTAGCATAGTGGTTACGAATCGGGCTGCGAACCTTAAGGTCAGCGGTTCGAAACTAGCAGCTGCTCCGTGGGAGAAAGATGAGGCTTTCTACTCCCGTAAAGATTTACACCCTCGG